AAACAAATGCTAATTAAAAGACACAATGTCTGGTGAATATAGCGGGTGGGGTAGAACTTCCCATTTGAAGTTTTCCAGGTAGTCTTTTACAACATTTTCAATATGGATTTTTGCTGGTTCCACCAGATGCAGAGCATGAGCTTAGAACCATGAATATTCGGTTTTGCTGATAATGTTGATATCTCGCCGGACTTGACCCTTGCTTTTCTGCATTTAGAGTTGTTGCAATGTATCCAGTTTTTATTACCAATAACCATTTTATACAGAAAACCTTCCTTTAGAAAAATTTTTTGTTTGTCGCGCGAGCAGCTATTCGCAGGTAAATAACCGTCTTTCAATATTATTTTGCCTTGAAATCATTTCCCTTTGTTTCCAGCGCAATGTTTTCACAAGCTTCTGATTTCCCGTTTCTGGCATAGATCTTCATTAAGTAATGTCTACTAATCAGTATCTTCAATCTTTTTCTCAGCGCTAGGATGTTTTTCATCTTTGAGGTCAAAATCATCACCCTTGAACTGTTGACGCCATCTTTTGCATGATTGTGCTAAAAGAGCAATGTCGACGTATATTTCTACTAGTATTCAATAGGCCTCAGCTGCTGTTGTATTTTGGTGGATGTAATGTAAAAGATTTCCCCGCAAAAATGGTTTCGTTGGCACGAACTTAACTATGTTTAAAATTTTAGACCAAAATACTCCGAAAGTTTAAATTGTATTGATGTTTTCAGCCTAGGACTTAGCTTTTAGTTAAAATTTATTTTAGTCTGCTTGTTTATACACCAGCCGAATTATAAGTCTCAACACAAAAGGAACATTTTAAACTCATACTCCCAATATATATTGTCAATGTATATCTTTCTAAAAGAGTATAGCACACTTTTTTAATGGTGCTTAAAGTAGAAATATTCTTTTAAACCCATTGTTTTTAATGTGCAAAAAACTCAAAATAAATACAAAATAAAAAAAACAGTGTAAATATTTTGCTTCTTAATTTTTCACAATTGAAAAATTTTGTTGTTAATATTTTTGTCAAAAATCTTTCCAACCAAAAATCAAATGTAACCTTTAAATATCTTCACAAGTTTTCTATTTCTAGATAGGTATATAAACGCATTGAAGCCACAGTTTAGCTCGCTTAAAATAACAGTCCATAAATAGCCATGTGTTATTTTATTTGAATATAAACTACAGGCATAAATATATCCAGCAAAAACAGCAGGTAGATATAAAATTGTATGCGAACTTGTAATCAGTAACACTGTCTGAGTCAGATGCCTTTTTATTACATTAGATTGTGCGTCTTGCGTTTCTTTAAACCGTAATTTTTTTTTCGTTTTGATCAGTAAAAACGTATTTGTTATAAAAACTGATAATATAATGCTTATTATATATGTTGATAAACTGAATAAGAAGAATGATTTCTGGCGAAGTGATTTTGATAACAAAATGAGAAGCCCATTCCAAATACCAAAACCAAATGATATTAAAAATTGAAAAATTATCATTGGCATCAGGTGAACAGTCTTTAAAGAAATTCTGCAACACTTTTTCACAACTGTAGCATACCGATCTATTGATATAAGAACCATGATTGAGCAAGAAAAAACTACAAGAAACGCAATTAAAAACCCCATTATGGAAACAATTAAACAGGAGATTACATTGACCATGACAAGTTGAATTGGCATAACAACCAATGCAACCATTAAATTAAGTGAAGACAATAATAACATAAGTTTTTCGTTTTTGGTGTAATATTTTCTTTGTTGTAAGTTGCAAACTCCTATTAATAACAAAACGTTCCCCAAAACTATTAAAACACAAACTATTATATTAAGGACGCTGAACATAAAACTTTTTGATTCATTAGCATTGTTATTATAAGAATGAAAACATATCACTTCACTTTGATTTTTCAAAAGTAAAAAGTTTGAAGTTTCATAACTTTTATTGATCATCCTAAATATGATTATAAAAACGAATTGCGTATATTTCAAATCAAAAAAACATTTTTGTTTGTTTTTTGACGATGCAATATTTATTATAAATTCTTTTACACTTTTGTGGAATAGCAAATAACAATAAAACGTAATAATTGAACACAAGGGTTATCAATAAAATAAATGAATAAAAAAAAATAATCTAATTTTCACCTAAATTGTTTTTTATTTCGTATTTGCATTTTGTATTTTAAAGATTTGACCTTATTAGTTTAGTTTTTTAATTTACATTTTTTGTTAATTATAGAAACTATTATATAATCAAGTTTTATAAACTTTTTTTATTGGCACAATTAATAATTTATATATGTTTTCTTCAATACAACTAAATTTTTTATACACACAATATCCTCACAACAGAAATCCAAATTTTTATTTACATATCCAAAGAATAACAAATTTTTATTTAAATCCAATTGCTAATACTACGGTATTTTGTTTTACATATATGTATTAGAGATATATTTATTTCTATATTCATATTGTATACATATATATGTTTCTATATATGTGTTAGAGAGTATATATTTTTTTATAATAGTCTTATTTGCGTTCTTATAAATGTTTATATAGTAAATACGGTATATATGTCGTATCAGGGGCGAATCTAGGGGGTATCCTGTGTTGCCCAGGATTCACCCATATTATTCTAAGATTATATTTAGTTATAAAAAATTCTGTTTCATAATTTAAAAAATACTAAACTTAAATATATAGCATGCTAATATGAATATATGAGTTCTTTAGAAAAATAAATATTGCCTTTATAAAAAAACATACACGGCTGTAACAATGTTTCAAAGACTTAGCTCTCCTCCGTCATGTTTTAAAACGCCGCACAGTGACAAAAAAATGGCAATAAACCCCTCCTCACTTTTTTATAAATTAAGCCCTTTGTTAGATAATATTAAAAGACAATGATTTTTTATTTCAAAAGTAAAAATAATTTTTTCATAAAGCTTTTATTTTGTATTTTATAGGTAAAAGAAGTGAAAAAGTTTGATATTATTTTTAAGCTTGCTTTAGTTATATTTATTTCAAAGGTGAAGAAAAAACTAAAACAATGTGGACGAAACTATGATACATCTATACAAAAAAAAATCGTTGGCTTCAAAGAAATCTTATGAGCAATAAAAATAGTCGTTTTGGTTCTGGAAGGCCCCATAAATAATGCAGTGATCTTGGAGAGAGAAGCAAAAGAAAAAAAAAGAAAAGAACTAGCCACTGAACATCATGAAGCTCTATTTTTAGCTTCTGCAAAAAGTGCAAATGCTCCTGGAGAAAAAAAAAGCCTTCTTTTTAAAAAATAATATATCTAATGTTTTAGAGATTGATTAAAGTAGATAAAACTTTGGATAAAACCTTTCCCATTAACATGAGTGTAGAGGATGCTCTTGCATTAAAAATGAATACTGATCTCAGCGATAAACAATATCAAATGATCAGAAACTCAGCTCTTGTACACAACGTACATATTTATCCTACCTTGCACGATATTTTCGTGGAAAAATTGAAATGCTATCCTGAGAATATACATTTTTCTGAAATTTCTGCAAAGTGTACTCTTTAAAGCATGTTAGATCACACTGTGAGTAGAATAATAGAAATGATTGATATGCCTAAATTTGTTCAGAGTGATGAAATACTTGGAGTTTTATATGGAAAGATTGGTTTTGATGAAGCATCAAGCCAAAGTATTTACAAACAGAAATACAATACAAGCAACGCAAGTATAGAAATTAAGCATGAAGAAATTCTTTTCAGTACAGCTTTTGTGCCTTTATTGCTCAAAGTAGAAGATGGCGAAATTTGGAAAAATTAAAATCCTTCAAGCTGTCTTGTAGACCTCTTCATCTACAATATAAAAAAGAAGTCCAATTTTATTTAGAGAAGAAGAATCAGATCTAAAAAATCAAATAAATGCCTTAAAGACGTTTTGCAAAGTTTTTAATATTGCAGGAAGAATTTTGACATTTAATATCAGCTATAGGATTGATCTTACAATTTTTGATAATAAAGTAGTTAGCACACTTACAGAGACAAAATCCACTCAATCCTGCAATTTGTGCAATGCTAAACCCAAAGAAATGAACAATATTGATTTATTAAAAGCAAAAACTGAGAATGACCCTTGGGGCTCGGAATTTCAGCTTTGCATTGCTGGATAAAATGCTTGGAGTTCATTCTTTATTTGAATTATAAAATTGAAATTAAAAGTATAAGCCAAAAACAATTGAGGAAATACTACCTGTAGACTTAAAAAGAAAAAGAGATTTAGGTACTCTTCAGAGAACGCTTAAGCCTATACGTTGATATGCCTAAAACTGGGTCTGGAAACACGAATGACGGCAACACTGCCAGAAGAGCATTTAAAAATAGTGAAGTTTTATCTGAAGTTATTAAAATTGATTGTGATATAATTAAGATATGACTAAACCGGCATCTATATGTATGTATATTATTTATACTTTACTCGTAGGTTTTATCTAAAAACCCATATATATATATATATATATATATATATATATATATATATATATATATATATATATATATATATATATATATATATATATATATATATATATATATATATATATATATATATATATATATATATATATATATATATATATATATATATATATATATATATATATATATATATATATATATATATATATATATATATATATATATGTATATATATATATATATATATATATGTATATATATATATATATATATATATATATATATATATATATATATATATATATATATATATATATATGTATACATTAAAAAACGCAATGAATTGCAATGTTTTATAAATGAGCTTAATGTTACCTGTTCTCGGTGAAAAGACATTGTTTTGTAGGTTTCCTGCCTTTATTAACCAAATCTAAATGTTTAGTTTTTTTTTTTATTTTCAGTATTTGGTGTAGATAGAATAGGTATCTAGATTTTCATAAAGATAGTATACGTATCTAGACTCTCATAAAAATAGTATACGTATAGTATACGTATTTAAATTCTCATAAAGATAGTATAAATATATAGATTCTCATAAAAAATTCTCATAAAATTTGCAATGTTGGGACTCATAAACAGAAAAAAATAAAAATAAAAAAATTTTATATTTACTTTACAAATATTAATATTGTTATATATATTTCTATGTAAGTTTGCTATTTAAAATATAAATGTTTCATTGAAGAAAAACAGCATTGTTTGCAATAATATCAAACCAATCACAGAAAAGCAGAACGATGGTACCCTCCTAATGTAAACACTAAATTTGGTACCCTCCTAATGTAAACACGTGTGAATGATCAGCTGTAGCTATTAGAAGAGTCTCATCTAAGAAAAAATATAACATGATTATAACTTTTTTGTTTCCTTTCTTTACAAGAAGCTATTTTTCTTAATCTCCTTAGATCTTAAGGGCAATTATAGTCAAGGCTAATTATTATTTTTTTAAATAATTTTTTTAACGAGATCTTTTTCACAATTGTACTTTTTTCTCTATTAAGAAACTCAAATACATTTTGAAAAATAAGGCAGCTGCGCAGAGTCTAGAGGCAAAATGGATTGATTTCTCTTGCTTACTAAGCAAGTGCTCTACCGCTGCATTGCTAAAACCACAATAAGTTTAAGCCCTTAACATTAATCTTTTAAAATGATTCTTTTATTTTAAATTAAACCATATTTAATAATATATTTTAATAAAATATATTAAATAACGAATTATGGTTTAAAAGAATTGAAATAGTATAAAAATTTATAATATATACAAGTTGCAAAAATCAATTATTAGAGGAACAATGAAGACACAATTATTTTTGTTTTCGATTTAACTTTTAAAAAAATTTAAATTAGGAATGTAAATTTAATTATAGCGTTTTTTCATAAAACAAAAGCTTTATTGTGAAAATTGGTTTTTATTTAATGTTTTAAGTACTGCCCTTCCCTAGCCACTACTATTTCATTCTGCTAACATATGGATTCTGTGAAAAAATATTTTTCGAGGCAAGCCACAAATCAACTTAATTTTTTTATGAATATCCGAAGTGAAATGCTCCTTAATTAAACCAAATGTCACTAATCAGAAAAGATGCTAGCCGGATAGGAAACATGCCTTCCATATTGCAATCATTTTTCTTCGTATTTCATGTTGATGATTATCCAGGTCTCAGCAACAATTTTATATGCTTTGGGCAACTGAAGTAAATCCTTTTTTAATTGCCAGTTACTATAACGCAAAAAACCATTCTATATTGAAACAGTTGTTCACACTGGAATATAAAATTTAAATTGACCCATAATAATACTTATAACTAAATAGAAAAAAAGCCCAAACAGAAATAAACCAAAATTTCGAGCACTCTTGTTCGGTGCCGAAACCGAAATCGACATTTAGGCTAGTCAATATTAATTTTATGAGAAAATTTTATTTAAAAACGCAATTTTACATTTTTTGTTTTTTTTATACGTGCATTATGTTAAAATTGATTACACGTGTCTCACAAATTGAGATTTAATACATAAGTTGGTAATAAAAGTTATTTAGCGAAAGTCAACAACAGGCAAAACTGCAAAACAAGACTTTTTCGAAGTATTTTGTGAAAACTCTCAAAATATTTTACGATAACTCTTAAAAATAATTTTTTCAAGATAAAAATTTAAAATCTCACAAACTTTTTGGTTTTTGGTATTTTTTTCGACCGAATTGTTCTTTTTTTTATCGAAAATTGAATTTTTGTCGAAAATTGAATTTTTATCGAAAATTGAATTTTTCTTTTTTATCGAAAATTTTTTATCAAAATTTCAGTCTCGGTTCAAATTGTCATTTCGGCCGAAACCGATAGCGAAACAGAATTTCGGTTAATCACTACTTATAACTGTTTGTTTTAATCATATTCTTTCAATTCTTTAAATGTTTGTTTCAATTGTCTTTTAAGTCAAAATTATTAACAAATTTGTATTATTTAGTTCATAACTTAACAGATTTAGTAAAACTTTTAAATTCAATTAAATTTTAGAAAATTGTGAAAACTATGAATATTTTTAAAATGGTATTAACAAATAGTTTATTTTATTTTTTAAACTAAAAAAAGCTACACAAAAACTAAAGAATTAAATAAACAATTAATTAAAGAAATATTATACTGTTTTTAAATTTTTAATTCTTAAACATAAAAAAAATTGGTCTAATGTATTATAAAAATGTATCAAAAATACAATATAATTAAATTTAAATAAATTATTTATATAAATCATTTATAATATATGTTTAAAAAATAAATACTATTGTAAAGTAAATAAAACTTTAAAAAAATTTTAAAAATTATAATTTTTATACTTATATTCTTTTATTTAAACTTTAAATATAATATAAACATGCTTAAATAATTTTTTTATTAATTAAAAAAAATTGTTTTCAATAATTTATATAATTGGAAACACTAATCAGAAAATATGAAATAAAATTTTTCAAATTGCACCTATTTTCAACTCAAACTACTTGACCAATAAACAACATTAATATTCTTTTTTGTTTAGCTTACCTATATTACCTAGATAAACTTAACCAAGATAAATTTAACTTATATTGTGTTTTTGCGAATATATCTTATTTCATAATATTTTTTTTTTTTCTTAAATAGTGATAAAAATGTTACTTGGGTCAGTAATGTCTTTTGCTTTTTGAACAGCATGATTCAGTTCCACTGCATCATGAAGAGCATGGAAAGCTTTGTTGTCATGATGACCATGATCAATTCGACCACCAGTAAACAAATTTGATTTTATTATATAATTTATATATATATATATATATATATATATATATATATATATATATATATATATATATATATATATATATATATATATATATATATATATATATATATATATACATATATATATATACATATATATATATATATATATATATATATATATATATATATATATATATATATATATATATATATATATATATATATATATATATATATATATATATATATATATATATATATATATATATATATATATATATATATATATATATGTATATATATATATAAGGTTTTCTGAAATTTAGTTTTTAAAATACAGAGCTTCAAAGTATGAACAAAACATGTTTTTGCTACTGAAGTTTTTAATTTTTGGAAAAATCAGAAATTTCAAATGGCCATATCTCATGAACCACATAAGATTTGAAGCTGAATATTTCAGGAATTGCTTTTCTCATTGATATAAACCAACCCACTAAGTTTCATCAAAATTTGAGGGGTCCATGTTTGACCCTGGTTCACTTGGCATGGAATGACCCATATATATATATATATATATATATATATATATATATATATATATATATATATATATATATATATATATATATATATATATATATATATATATATATATATATATATATATATATATATATATATATATATATATATATATATATATATTAGGGTGGCTCTTAAAACAACTTTTTTGAAAAAAATCTTCTACCAACCACTAAATGTGTTCTATCTAATACAAAAACACTAGGTTTGCTTTTTTTTTTGAATAAAAAATATTTTAAGGGGTCCCTGAAGACCCTTGAATATTTAATGGCTCCCTAATACTTTCAAAAAAAAGGTTTTATAAAAATTTTATAAAAATTTCAAAAATAATATTAATTTTGAAAAAAAATTGATATTTTTGATTACATAAAAAATTTCGTTTTTTAACAAAAAGCAAAAAAAAATCCATTTTTTATGTTTTTTTATGATAATTTTGATAAATAAATTAAAATTTTTTGAAAATAAATTTTATTTTTGAAATTTTTATAAAATATTGCTTCATTTGAGTACCAGGTTGACATATTTTTGAAATTTTTTTTTGAAAGGGACCCATTAGATACTCCTGGAATATTTAATGGTCTTGAGAGACCTCTTAAAATACTTTTTACTCAAAAAAAATGTAAACCTAGTGTTTTTGATAGAACATATTTAGGGGGTGTGAGCAGGTTTTCTCAAAAAAGTTGTTTTAAGAGCCATCATAATATATATATATATATATATATATATATATATATATATATATATATATATATATATATATATATATATATACATATATATATATATATATATATATATATATATATATATATATATATATATATATATATATATATATATATATATATATATATATATATATATATATATATATATATATATATATATATATATATATATATATATATATATATATATATATATAATATATATATATATATATATATATATATATATATATATATATATATATATATATATATATATATATATATATATATATATATATATATATATATATATATATATATATATATATATATATATATATAGATATATATATATATATATATATATATATATATATATATATATATATATATATATATATATATATATATATATATATATATATATATATATAGATAGATAGATAGATAGATAGATAGATAGATAGATATTAGCCCGTAAAGGGCTGTCTTTAGTTTTTACTATTATATTAAGTAGCCTCCTTATCTTTAGTGGCCTTCTCAGCTTCGGGGAGGCGAATTACCATATATAAAAAAAAAAAATTTAAGACGAACTAATTTATTTTAGACGTACTATTTTTTGTATCTATTTCATTGAAATACCATTAAATTTACTTACTCATTTATTGAAAATCTAATAAATTTACCTAAAATTTGATACTATTAAAGAACATGACAAAATTTCAGAACCCTCATTGATGAAATCAATAAGGATTCTGATAGTGAACTAAGTTTGGAACTATAAAAACAGTTAGAGGATGTAATTAAATTAGCAAATAATCTTTATGAAACTTAACCTAACTTTTTTTGTTTTGTTTGCTTATTATTACTTATGAAGTCTAAAAGTTGTTCATCAACTTTGTCACTTCCATGATCTTAGTGTTGTAGATGTCTTTTACAGAAATATCAACAAGTAACGTTTTAAAAAATTTGAGACATGAACATGACAAAATTAACGAAATTGATGAAGATTCTGACAATGAATAAAGTGGGGAATGGCAGAATGATAATGAATAAAGTATGGAATGGCAGAATGACAATAAATAAAGTAGGAAATGGCAGAATGACAACAAACAAAATGGGGAATGGCAAACACAGTTTGATAACATCAATGTAATTGAATCAGCAGATTATCTTTATGAAACTATAATTAAAATCATAAAAATTGCCAAGTGGACTTGTAATTAGAAACTCGGGCATTAGTGGACTTGGAAGATAGTTAAAGATAATCCAAATTGTTTGGATAAAATTACTAAAAACTTAATTCTTTATTATCCAAAAATTAAAGCATCTTCTATAGATAGCAAAAAATGTAATCTCAATTGAAACTAGCCAATTAATTGATTCAAATAACAAAAGTTCTGCTCCAGAAAATCAAGAATCGTTGCCAAAGGATATTTATCTGATACTGTTGTGGTTTTACCAAATAAAAAATAAATTAATATCCATTAAAAAAAGAACTTAAATTGTTTGAAGCATCTAATGATCGAACTGTTTTGTTTGAAGCATCAACCAAATGGTTTAGAAAAGTTAAATACAGCCCTTTTTATAATCTTTTCTTTCGCTTAACATGAACTCTTCCTCAACTTTCTTTGTCGTCCAAGTGACACATAAAAACTAACCCTTAATATAAAAATTTGCTTTTAAAGTGCTTGTGGCTTTGTTTTATTATTAAAGTGTAATTATAATACTACTAGCAGAAAGCAACCCGAAATACGCGTTGTTAGTAAATACAATAAACTGCGTATAGAAAAGTCTAGAAACTACTTTAAAATAGAAAAGCCTAGAAAATGACGTAATTCGACTAATAATATTAAATTAGCGTATTAATATTATCAGATAATAAATGTTTATTTTTTTAAATCGGCTAATATTGCGCTTGTGGGTTTGTATCATTTTTTTAATACTTTCTTTTTAAAAAAAAATATCTTTTAATAAAATTGAAAAAGATAACTTACAACATAATTTTATCTAATCTAAGTATAAAAATATATTACATATGTGGGAGGACGAGGGTGGCAATACAAATGAAATATTTATACTATATCTTATTTTACTTCTATATAAAAGAAGTTTATATAGAACTAGCATGCGCGAAATAACAATTTGCGTTATGCCAATATTTGCAATTTTATTTGGCGCATTTAAGGCAGTTCGCATTTTAATCCGGGACGCTTAATAAGCGCGAATTGACATAAGTGCAAACTAGCATAAGTGCGATGCATTGCAAAAACTGTTACAAGTGCAAATCGACATAAGAGCGAAATAACAATTTGCGTTATGCTAAAATTTGCAATTTTATTCGGCGCAATTATGCCAGTTCGCAATTATGCAAATGCTTGCAAATTCTGTTGGCTCACTTATGCTAGTTCGCACTTGTGCCAGTTTTTGTAACTGCTTTGCACTTATGCCAATTTACATATACATATGCAGTTATATATGCAGTTACATATGCAGTTCGTACTTACACCATTCACACATTCAGCTCAATTTAATTTCAATTGTCTTGAAATTGCTAAATATCGTGACTCTCTGTAAGTTTAAAAAGTAGAAAAAAACATATGGCAAAAACAATTGCTAAAAAATATAAGATTTTATAATCTTTTCTTTCACTTAATATGAAACTTTCCCTGTCGTCCATAGACCGCTAAAAACTAACATTTGATACCAAAATTTACCAGAAAATTGCTTGCAGGTTTGTTTAGAATAGTCATATAAATCTTTTAACAAACCTTTTCATTTTTAAAATAGGCTAATATTGCTTGTGGGTTTGTAATTTTTTTTTATTATATATTGTTCTCTTTTAAAAATTAACTTTTTTAGGTTAAAAATCGACTAAGTGGGTTTGTATTTCTGTGGGTTTGTATTTCTTTTAAAATCTTTTTTTTAATTTTTTTTTTTTTGAAAAATTATTTTTTTAATAAAATTGAAAAAGTAACTAACAAAGTTATGTTAACTTTGTTTATTATTAATATAAAAATATAATACATCTGTGGTAGGATGCGGGTTGCAATGCAAATGAAATATTTGTAATTTATTTTATTTTACTTTTATATAAAAAAGTTTTATCTTTTAAAAGAAAAATATTCCGCTCCTTTAATCAGCAAATACTACGTTTCTTTAGGATAAAAAGCTCGACTTAATTACAAATGTCTAGATAAACACATCGCTAAATATCGTAACTCTCTGTAAAGACTAAAAAGTAGAAAATAAAATATAGCTAAAACGTTTGCTAAAAACATGATCTTTTTGTACTAAAAAGTAGAAAATAAACTTTTTAATCTAAATTTAATAGCTCCGTAAACTAAAAATTGACAGGTCTGCGCAAAAATTATTTAGAAAATATCTGTCAATCTTTAGTTTATGGAACTATTAAATTTAAATTAAAAAGTTTATTTTCTACTTTTTAGTACAAAAAGATTATATTTTTAGCAAATGTTTTTGCTATATTTTATTTCTAGGCTTATTCATTACTAAACTTTGAACACTATCAAGTTATGAAATAGTTGATACATCATTTTTTTTAAGGTAATATTTATCTAGAAATTAATGTGTTTTGCTGAAGCAATTAGTCAATTGTCTTATTCTATGTTGAAAAAATGCTACAATATATAATATTTTATTATATTATTGTAATGGTTGCTAAGATATTAGCCTGTAAAGGGCTGTCTTGGTTTTTACTATGCACCAATTTACTTTCTACTAAAAACAAACTAATACCATAATTATTTGAATTTAAATTTTTTCCAAAATTGTTTTTTACTTAAATAATTAAATTTGTTCAATTTTTTTTTGGCTTAGTATTTTTAAATATTACATAAATAATCTATATTTATAAAAAAAAACGTAAATAAAATGATTACATTTTACAGATCAAAATTGCTTTAACTTAATAAAAAAAATAAACACAAGTGAATAAAGAAAACATTGAGACCATATTAATCAACACTTGACATCAGTAAAAAAAACATAGCTGTAAAGAACACTATGCAGTTCAGCCAAAACAGCATATCCTTGCTGAGAAGAAAATGAAATGCTGTCCTTGCTGACAAAGTATACTGTACCACAAGAACATGTTAAACTGAATCCTTAGAACACGTGTTAACTACACTTCCCACAACATATGTTAATCAAAAACATACTAACCTTCAACTAACAAGAAAAATCCTTTAAAATTTTTGCTGAGTACTTTGACAGCAAATTCAACCATTTCAACTAAAGATGGCTCATCTGTTCCATTTAAGCGATAGTAAGAGTAACTCAAATGGTCATAATTGAATATTCCTGTTTAAATAAAAACATTGTACATTACTAATAAAAATCATTTGCTTTAACTATAAAAATTAAACAACAAATAACTCAACAAGTGACTAGAAAAAATCTTACCAAGCACATGATCAACAGCTTCTGGTTTTAGATTTCTTAATTGAGCTGCATTAGAAACATACTCATATTTACCATTATTAGAGGTTTTATTAATCCATTCCTCAACAAGATTTCTGCCATCACCTCTTTTATAAGTTTTTTTTGTCGTTTCATCAACCGTTAAGTTAGGAAGAAATGCAGATCGCCCTCCGCCTAAAGCTACTTCAAGACCATTTCCATACTTAAAATCAATCAGTTGGCTTGCTGAAAATAAGAGATTTAAACTGTTTCACAATAAAACAACTAAACATTTTTGAAAAAAATCTTCATCTTGATAAATACACGAATAAACTGAAATACATTTGCTAAATAAACAACGCGTAAGTAAAGCAATTAATTTAATATAAAAACTTGTAATTCTTTGTTATCGTATACAAAGGTATGTACATTAAGGTGAAATATTAAAAAAAAAATGATATTTTTTTAAATTAGTTTTTTTAAATACAATCTACAGCTATTCATGTAGCTTTAAAATACCATGGTTTAAAACCACCATGGTTTAAAACTACTCTTAATCTTACTTTTTCTCTTTTTTCATTCTGAAAGCAGTTGAATCAAATTGTAAATGTATTAAGTCATAGCATTTTAAAAACTTTATTCACATTTTGCATTTTTTGATGTTTAAAAAAACATTTTTATACAAAAGAAACATAAGCTTGGTGACATGCTATGATAAAACTATGCCTTTTAATTTAAAAAAAAAAACATAACAGATAAGAAGCTACTCCTACTTTTGGTTACAAAATTTACTATACAATACAAAAATTACACAAATTTTTTTTAACACTTTGCAATTCAATTACTTTTTACTACTAATTAACTCTGTACTACTAATGTTTGTGACCACTCTTTTACAGTATTAAAACTCATATTTGCTTAAGTAATTTAAAGCTTCTTTTTTAAATGTATATTTAAATGATCAGCTAATGTTTACCTGCAAGTTTATTTCAAAACATTGTTAAAATTATGCACTACGAAAAAATTAGGAATTTGGTCAACCAAAAGGCACTGAAAATCATTAAATTATTCTAAAAGCCAGGAACAAGATTTAGGTGTCTTTATATCTGGTGATATAAAATGGAAAAACCATGTAAATATTATTGCAGAAAAACACACAAAATCATCTAATAAATCATTATTTCAAAAGCAAAAACTTATTTTTTTTAAAATAATTAAACAGTCTAACCAATGATTTTAATAATGCTGGTAATATTAAAAAAAAAAAAACTAAATAGGATGTTAAATTTAAACTAAATTTTGATTATGGAAGTGCACAAAATAATTTTTTTTATGTATTAAGAAATTAGGAGAGACGTGAACAACTTATTTTATTAAAAAGTTTGTCTAGTAAAAAGGGTAAGGGGTTTGAAAATTGTCAGTTTTACTAAAAACTTATCAATTGGAGTTTTTTGGCTTTTTTCATATTAACCTAAAGTATTGCAATTGTTAATAAACATTCAGACATAATATGGACATAAAAATACAACATAATATTTTAACACGTTAGACGTAAGAAAAGAAATGAAATTTCAAAAAAATTTCAAAAAAAAAAAATTAAGAAAATGCAAATCAAAAATGTTTATTTAAAAAAACTATGAAAATCGGTACTTTTTAACTTTTTTTTTAAAAAAATTCATTAATTAATTTTTTGTTTGTAAGCCATGAAATTTAAATCTTTTTATAAAATGATTATTGTTTTTGTATGTTTCAAAATTTCACTTCTTTCGAGACCCAACAAAATATGCTTTTGAAGAACTTTTTTTTTCAAAATAATAGGGATCCGTCTTATGTTTCGTATAGATATCAATATATAGAATATATTCGAGTTAAAGTATTTTGATGTATCAATACAAAGACTCTTGTACATGTGACAGTGCTCAATATTACTGAATAATAGAGCTATATAATTATATTTTGTTTAGATAAATTAAAATAACTGATTAGCGGGACTTAAAGTTTCATGCCAAAAGGCAATCATCAGCCGTTAATACAAACAAAAAACGTAAACAAACTGTTACAAAAATGTAAAACTTACTGCAGAATGACTTCTGACGTTATAAACAAAATTACGTAAAATATAAAACAAAAAAAGCCGTTATAGTTTACTAGTCTCCTGTGTCAAAAAGATTATAAATATTTATAAAATAATAAAATAAAATCATAATAAAATTAAATCGCCTATATGTCCACTGCAAACAAAAGAAATGTCACTCTTAGAAAAAGACCTAATCAATCTTATCAAATCAATAAAGTTTAGAGACATATGCAACACCTTCCAAAATGGTATGAAAAAAAGACATTAAAACTATATGTTTATCTCAGGAAACCCTAACACAAGCTGACAATACATCAAATATGTATAAGCTGTCCAAGGAGGATTACAATAACCTGTTAACAAATGCTATAACTATAGTTGCAAAAAAACACGTTTTTTACCTTTGGCGTTTTTTTGGGTCAAAAAAACGTGTTTTTTTGGCGTTTTTTTGTTTTTTTTGGTGTTTTTTTGGTGTTGCATTGCATTTTTTTTAACAATTTTTCAGTTTTTTTTTGACATAAATTTTGGAACAGTTTTTCTTTACTCTAGTATAATTTTTGAATTTGGCTATTAAAGGCACAATTAGATGTATAAACGCCTATTTAACATAAATTTTTATTTATTTCATCAATTTATTTATTTGAAATTATTTTTTAACAGCATTTTATTTTTCTAATTACATTATTTATTCATCTAGATATTTTCATATAGCACTATATCAGAACATTTGCAAAAATCTTTAATATGCTCTGTTTTTTAAGTTCAACTTTTAGACATAATCTTATGGCAAAAGAATTGTTCATCTTTTTCCATTTTATTATTTTGGTTAAGAGGTATAAATAAATGGGTGACTAAGTCTTTATTTCTGCCCCCTGTATGGAGAGCCTAATCATAATTATTTTTGTTCTTCCTGTTGATAACCAACAAGAAAAAAAATTCATATATATATATATATATATATATATATATATATATATATATATATATATATATATGCATATATATATACATATATATGCATATATATATATATATATATGTATATATATGTATATATATGTATATATATATATATACATATATATATATATATATATATATATATATATATATATATATATATATATATATATATATATATATATATATATATATATATATATATATATATATATATATATATATATATATATATATATATATTTATATATATATATATATATATATATACACATATATATATATATATGTATGTATAGATATTATGGTGCTTTAAAAATCACTACTCAGTGTTGTTAATGTGGTGTGGTTATTTTCTGCACTAATCTAATTTTAGATTCTAATTCAGAAAAGATTTATATAAATTTCTCTTTATTTAAGTAATAAGTTGACTTTTTAATAAAACATTTTAGGGACTATTTAAACAATATTAGGGACCTGTTGAATATAAAATGAGCTTAAGTATGAACTAAATATTGAACAATTAAACTTAAATTAAACTTGAAACTTCAAATTGTGTATCTGGGATTATTAAATCATTTCTTTCTAACTGTTTTATTATAATCATCATCAAAGGCCTACTTATTTATTTCCAGTAACTTCTGGGGTATCTCAAGGTTCTATTCTTGGTCCTGTTTTGTTTCTTATCTACATTATTGATCTTCCCGACAACCCTACATCTATAGTAGCTCTTTTTGCTGATGACTCAAGTTTTTACTCCTGTCTTGACAAAAAGTCTTCTCTTTTTGATCGCTTAGAACAGGCAGCCAATTTTCTATCTGTTGATACAAAACTGGCTGCTTGTTCTAAGCGATCAAAAAGAGAAGACTTTTAAAATATGTGAGCCATAATCTGTTCACAGATTGGGGCTCACATATTTTAGCTTATAAATTTTATTTTCAACAAAACTCTGTTATTTACTGCAAACAACTACCACAATACTGTCAACATTCCTATATTAATTAATGGTAACCCTCTTACTGAGTCCTCTTTTTTACATCTTCTAGGAATATTATTTGCTACTAACCTTTTTTTGTAAACAAAATATACAATCGATTGCTAAATTAGCATCCCTTTATCATTATCGTTGTTTTCTTACCCTTGATTCCAATCTCTACCTCATCAAATATCTTTTTGTCCCTGTATGGAATGTTGTTGTCTTATTTGGGCTGGTTCTTCTTATGATGCCCTTTTTCTTCTAAACAAGCTCTATCTGCTAAGCTTGAGCCTTTTTCCTATTGTCATAAAGTTGCATCTCTTTCTCTTTTCTACAAATTCTATCATGGCGGCTGCTCAAAAGAATTATTATCTCTAGTTCCATCAACAAAAACTCATTCTCGCTTGACTCTTTATTATGCTAAGTCTCATTCATTAGTTGTTCAAAAATGAGGTAGGACGAATTGCTGAAGTAATTTGAACAAAAATTAATTATAAACTTAAAAATAAACTTTTTTTGAATCAATGGCAAAGTACGCAAAATGTTGTAGACTGGTTTAAAAAAATCACCAATAAGCACTCATACAAATTCCAAGTTTTTGATGTTAACAATTTTTACCCTTCCGTAAATAAAACACCCTCAACAACGCTTTGAATTTTGCTGACCATCATATTGTTATTAAAAGCGAAGACAAATCATTGATAAAGCATGCAAGAAAATCGCTTATCTTCAACAACGATGAGGCATGGATTAAAAAAAATGTGGTTTGTTTGATGTAACCATGGGGACATTTGATGGTGCTGAAGTTTGCGAATTAATAGGTATTTTTATACTGTATCAAATTGCACAGCATTATAATAATAAAGATTTCAGCCTATATTGTGACAACGGTCTTGCCACATTTAAGAACAAAAATGACCAGCAAATGAACAAAATTTTTTTTTTTCCTTTTTTTTTTTCACACATTAAATAGAACATGAGAATAAAGAAAAATTTTTTTCTCGAAAATTAATTAATAGAACCTATAGAAATAAGGATTAAATATTATGTATTAATTTTTTTCAATATTTTTTTTGTGAAAAAGTTAAGAACTACAAGGAATCTTAACTTTTTCACAAGTGCTTAATGCGGTGGAAAAGGCGTTTTTTAATTGATTTTTACCTTTTTTAATTAAATATTTTATTAATGACCTGAGTCATTACCGAAAAACCAAAAGTATTAAAAAAAAGTATT